CTAAATGACCATTCTTTCGCCGAATAATCTGCCTTTATTGAATCGTTATTCTTGAGTGTAGTCCACACACAAAACAACGGCCAGCTGGGTTTAAAGAGGATATAAATCACTGTCAAAATGGTGGTGTTGGGTCGTGTGCTGGAATATATGTGATCCATTATAGGGGCTCACGTGTAAAATACCCTGAGTACCTCGTCGAGAGCGGAAGCCTCGCGACAATGTGGAATAACTTAACGGGAATCTTGAAATAGGTGAAAATGAAAGAACAGTGGATGGAGGGCGTGGATTATTTTTATGTGGAGGACGTGATGGGAAATGCTGTGGGTTTTTGAAGATATGAATGTAGATGATGATATTTTATTATCCGAATCACTAGATGGGCGATCAACCGCGAGCAAGCAAACACACTTTCACCCAATCTGAATTTCGACTTTTCCGAACTGAACAGAAATCGGTTTTTGCTTGAAACAAAAAACCAAGATCCATTCGCAGACGATATTACCCAAAAGTATCATTAATCGGATGTCACGTTGAATATAAGACTGAAATAAAGCAGCTACAGTGATAAGAATAATAATATGATAAATGGCGTCGGTCTGAATAAAAACTTCTAAATACTTTGGGGGGCGGAGAAAAAAACTTCTCCGTAAGATCGTTGTCGGAGTTGGATTGTTTGGAGCGTGACTTTGAGCAGCCAGAAGAATTTAAGTTACTGTGAGGTTCCTGATCCTTTTGGACAGACTACTGAAAGTTTTGAACTTTCTCTGCAGAAAATGAGATTTTCCTTATATAGGGTGATTGGGCGCATTGGCGTCAAAGCGGCGAAAGTAATATTTCCAACTATTAAAAAATTAACTAAAAATTTTGCAGAATTTTTTGTTTGCTTAGTTCTAGAAGGTATTGCTTTTGAAAAATCTAAGGTTTTGATTGCCGTTCAAACTTTATTGGCAATACAACATACAACAGTGAGGAACATCAGGCCTAGAAAAGAGTATAAATCTTGATAGTTAGATTTCGATAGAAACATACACAAAGCAGAACCCGAATGAAAAATACAGGTTATTCCTTCAAAAGCAATAATCTGCCAAATAGGAAACCTCAATATTAATCATCTACCTTTTCTCTTGCTAAGTGAAACCAGTTGTTACTACCGAGTTTAGACTGCCATAAATTCCCATTACACAATGGTAAAGGTTGTTGGCATTGAAATAAGCCCCCATATCACAAATCATAGCATTAAATAGACTAAACTTCTTCCCCAGTTTATGGGCTTTATCCGAGGATAGTAATACTTATCACTGACAAACTTAAAACTTTCCTTACAGAGCACAATTCCGGAAATCGTGACAAATATCCCAAGTTTCAGTTTCAGGGGAGCGTGGTAACAATTCTCCCGGGCACTGATCTAGAGCGAGGTTTGGATTATAGGAAAAATATTGCGTTTGCTGCACATTTATCCCGGTTAAATGTTTTGCATTCTACAGACTCGGGTAAATGGGGACGGTTTCCTGGTTTTACTTAACAATAACTCGACAACTGTTTATCCTAAACAACGACTCAGCTTCTAGGTTTGCCATTAATACAATTCCGAGTAGAACGAGTTATTTTTTATCTACTTGAATATCCAAAGCGATGTTCTGTAGCAGACGTTTTAACCATAACTGATTCCAATTAAAGAAAGTGTTGGATCTAGATTATGAAATAAAGCGCTTGAGAGGAAACAAATTTGCTTTCAAAATTCAACTCAATTTGCTAAAGATAGATCTGCGAGCAAAACATTTCAAATTCCAAAAATTAAGTTTAGATAATTTCCGCCAAACTTTGCTTTGATTAAACCAACGACTGGCAAAGCTAAACCAATATCTAAAATGAGCGAAAACAAAGGGCCCAAAAACCAGCATCTTAAATAGAAATACAAAAGAACAAATAAAAGGGTATTGTAAACTGGCTCGCTAAAAAATTCGTAACCTACTTTATTCTCGGCGGCAAAAGTTTACCAATTTAAATATGGAAATTCTTGATTAAAACTTTGTTGTTTACTGAGCCTTTGCAATAACAATGATTCTCAAAATGGAGTTAGAGCTTCGGACTAACAGATAGGGTTAGAAACTTTGGCCTGGAGAGTTCAGCTTAAAAATACAATCTTAATAAGCCAGTAAATCGAAACCAGGGCACAATAAGATATGTCTATCCGAGTTTGCGTAGATTCACCTAATATTAAATCCCCTTTCAAAAATCCACAATTCTTTTGTCGAGAATTATTTCCGCTTTCTCGGCTCTAATTTATTTAATGTCAGTGAAACCCGGAGGGTCAGAGAGTTTCATCGGGCGTGTCAGAGAAATACTTCCTGGACTTGCCGGAAAAATTAATTACCAACTTTAACTAATACCCAAAGTCTAAACAAAAACTTCGTGTTGATGGAAGCATTGTCTTAGGGCTATTGATACCAACACTGCCAGGAAGAAACATTCTGGATTCACCGGGATTCAACAAAAAATGCCATTTTCTTCTGAAAAGCGATGGAAATGAAACTTCTTTACATAGAAGTTCAGAAACTTTACTCTTTAAGCTCTAAAGGAGGTTACGTGTTTTACAAGGAATATGCCTTGGAAACCCGTGTGTGGTATTACTTTCCACGCTTTCATTGCCTTTTTCATTTTACATGTTAAAGATTATTTGTTTTCCAGAATAAACCTTTGAAGAGCTTGTAATATGTGTTCAATTAAGTTCAACTTTTCTAAACTTTATTGTCTATTTATTAGTTTATTTATTATTCGTCACGTCGTCTCAGCTGAGGTCATACATAGTGATTATACTGAAATTTGCTTCTGTAAAAATATTGGGCCATTTAAAGAGCAAGCAACAAAATTGTTTTGCTAATGTAAAAAATCTTTGAAAAATCCTTCAATATGACAAATATTACTACTATTTAAAGGAGATATAAAATAGGCTTTCGGCTATACGGGACAAGAGCCGGAAAATTGCAAGCTGTTTTCCTTTTTTGGCAAATTAATTTTTAAACAAGCCCCTGCAAAATTAATGCCAAAAAATCAGGACTATTTCGAAAATTTGTCTAGCCATCCCATCCTATTTAGCGCACTTCGGGCTTTACGATGCCAGAGTCTCAGATTTTCTCGCTTTTGCCGTTTCTGATAAATTAATTTTTAAATGAACCCTGTCGCCTAACCGCCAAAAATCGGGAGAATTTAGAAATTGAAATTGTTCGCTTAGGAAAAAACTGGTTTCTGGTAAATTCGCTTGTTCCAAATAATGAAAAAAACCTCTTGCAAAGATTCCGTGACTAAAATTGCCTCTAGTCAACATTTTCCAATTATATTGTTCATGTGAACAAAATTTGTTCATGCATTGACCGTGAGTAAATATAAACTGGAATGCTCGGGCTGCTCGAAACTTTTGAAACGTTTTCCCGTTGAACTGACTAGAGGGACACTGAGGAAAAACCCAATAAATTACACGTCATCTTGTACAAAATACACTTTATTGTAAAACCTAATAACACTGAAAACTTAAACTATAGAAAACAAATTTTCTAATAGTTTCGCTAGTACCGAGACTTTGTATAACAAGTATCTAGACTGACCTACTAACATTTACGTGTGCGATATACATTTAGTTTCTAAATGTTAGATAACTACCGATAACATATTTTCTAAATAATGTACAAACCTACGGTTTTCACTTAACTTTGATCTATTATCGTTTATTGCTCTGGGTCTATTCGCATGAGAGGAATGTAGGACTTTTAGTGCTGGCTCAGATAAACCGTAGATACCAGTGAAGAAAAACTGTAAGTATATTGAGTGGTTGCCTAATGATTTTTACAAAAGTAAGTCAGTATGTACACTTTTCTATCTATTACACAGTATACGAGTACATATATGACCCTGTTCATTTTATTACATACAAAATGTATATTACATTCAATTTTAATTTAGTTGTGCAGGGAGTTGCCGTTTTTAAGTTTCAGCAGTTTTTTCATAGTAAACCTGGGACAAAGCGAAATAAAATACGATCCCTCGGGATACAATTTAACAAAGCGCCGTTCTGAAATCCATGCGGGATTAGAGTGCTGCAACTTCCTTGTTGGTTTCAGATCTCCAAAGGAAAATTCAGTTCTCTAGGCTTCCTTCCTGCTTATTTATCCATCAGTTTTAAATATACAAACCGAAAAAGAATGAATAAGAGACTAACAGAGATACTAAAAGACAGCAGAGAGCTAAGGCTTCAAATATATGAAAGGATGAGATGTTTTCACAAAGAATCAACTTGCATCTTTAATACTAAATTGTTTTATTTCGCGTTCTTGTAGATGTCTTCAAAATAACATTTTCAGTTATTCATCTTATAAGACGCCTATTGTTTTCCTCGAGCTTATTGCTGTTTTTTACGTTCTTCTAACACAAGTTGATAATCTCACATCAAAGGAATCCAATGGGTATTTCTGTTATGGCAGTTTGAAAAGTTTACGATCACTAAATAACCAAAGGGGATTGGTTAATGTTTTTTCGCGTTATTATGAGATAAAATTTGTTTTCTGTGATTTATGTACACATTTTCGTTTTCTGACGACTGAAAAATTTGAGGAATTAATTTTTTCTTTCGTCAAATTTCGTCCTGGTTATTCAACATCCAAATCCGCGTGCTCAATTCACTGTGCTCCGATTTACCAAACACTTGAGTGGACATGAGTTCAAATGTCCCGGCATAAAGCGATTGGTGTTGTTTGAATATTGCATGGATTTAATTAAATGCAAACAGTTAGCTTAGACTGTCCATGCGTTAACGAAGTCATAAGATTTCAATTTAAATGTGCATTATGATGCATCATCGAACTCCATTTCAGCGTTTTACTATTGAAAGTTTTCAACGGTTTTCTTTGTGAGTTGGGACCAATTTATGTGAGACCCGATTAATTTATTTAATACACATTTTAAGGAAAATAGTTTCACTTTGTGTGTTTTTACATTCTAAATTTGCAAAACAGGCCAATGAAATTTGTTGTTTTTGTTATTTTACATTTTCGATTATTTTATGTTTCAGTAGGAAACTGCGTATATGAAATTCAAACTTCCGTCTGAAGCCAGTAACTCTGGGCAACAAGTTCGTTCTGTTCATGTTAAAACTGAAAATGTTAAAAACTACATGAAGTTAATTGATTTGTATCTCCGCTGATTCCACCTTACAAATTGCAGTTCTTACCACCAACGTCACTTAAATTCATCACAAATTCCGCTTTGATGTATGAAGAGTCTATATCACGCTCGGTTCACCCTCGTAGCCCTCATCGGGACTCTCAGTTAAAAGGTCGTTGGCGTTTTCATTTGGCGCGTTTGCATTAACGTTATCACTTTTTGGTACACTAACACTAATGCTATCACACTCGTCTTCAGTGTCCGTTTGTGCACTGGCGCACTTTTTTGAGACACTCTGAGGTAGATTTTGAGGATTTGGAGGCAGGCAAGGCGGCCAGTTCAGTGAACAACAGGGAACTGATGAAGGCGATGAGGCTTGAGGCGGAATTAATTGGCGTGGCACTGGATACCCATCCGCTGTGTATCTGCAAAAAATCCCATTTAATTATCTTCCGGATATTGAAATCGCGAACATAAAACTGAATATATCCTTCGTCCACCTTCAGTCGGACCAGGATAATTTAATAAAATATGTATTCAATTTGATTCGAAATTGGTTTCGGGCGGATTCGTTTCTATGGCTGAAAGCAAATCAATTACGCACAATCCAATTTTAAATTGTGGCAAACCGAATATACCCAGTTCGTTTTTTCTCAATTGAACTTTCAGGTTAAAACACATAAAAGGGTTCACTGTTTTTTTACAACTTACCGAATGTCTGTGGTGTGATAATGGTCATAAGGAGTGTCGATACTACGGGAAAGAAATTCCACTTCTCTGGAATATCTTTTGAGTGGATTAGCAGCCGAATGCCGTTTCATCCGATTACAAGGAAGAGTCCGATAATAAGACTCGTTGCTGCAAGAAGACCTGCAAGGCATTTTAGGCAGGCCGTAGTCGATTGGGTAGCCTTGGGCGTCCACTACGTGACGAATTCCTGCAAATAAAATACACTCTAAATAACTAGTCTTAGTGGGTCAATTTACTGCCAATGCTTTGAAAAATGCGGACAAAACAGCAGAAGCTGGTAACTAAATTGAAGGCGAATTATTAGGAGTTGAAATTAGCTTTATAGCTTTTCTAAGAAATGGCGTTATAAACGTATGTTGCATGTGGGTACTCGAAAACTATATTCGCGCTAAAGCACTATATTTATACACTATATATATACTATATGTGTCACCTTGCGCAAATGTAAACAACATACATGACAAGACCATTCAATATGCCGACTTTCGTGCCGAATAAACTCAATTTGCGGGAAGCTTTATGATTCTGTTTCGATTTGAAGAAAACTGCTGCTTCGAGTCGTTTGCTGCTCGAGGAAGTTTACGGGGGTAATACTCCATCGATGTGAGTACTGGTTTCGACGCTTCAAAAGTGGTGATATTGACACCGATGGCAAGGAATGTCCCGGTCAGCCGAAAAAATTCGAAGACGAAGAATTGGAGGCATTACTCCTCGAATATCCGTGTCAAACCCTTCAAGAATTGTCCGGATCATTGGAACCGGTCAACAGTTGGCAAAGGTCTCAAAGCGATGGGTATGATTAAGAAACTAGGAAATTGGGTACCATACGAGCTGAAGCCGAGAGCCGCGGAGAGGCGGGTTCTAACGTGCAAGAACTGCTCGCGCGCTCAAAAAATAAAAGTTTTTTTGCATCGGGTCGTGACTGGCGATGAAAAGTGGATCCATTACGATAACTCCAAAGGTGAATTATCGTATGGATACCCCGGCCACACATCGTCATCAACGCTAAGACTGAATATGTATGGATCCAAGCTCATGCTCTGTATTTGGTGGGATCAGTTGGGCAAAATTTATTATCAGCTGCACAAACCGAACGAAACCATCACCGAGGACCTCTACCGAACACAATTGATGCGTTTGAGCCGGGCATTGAAGGAAAAAACGGCCGGAATTCGAGCAGAGGCACGACAAAATCATTTTGCAACATGACAAAGCTCGTCCTTATGTCTCAAAACCCATCAAAAAGTACTTGGAAACGTTGAAATGGGATGTTCTACCTCACCCGCCGTATTTCCCAGATATTGCCCCGTCCGATTACTACTTATTCCGATCGATCGCATATGCCTTCGCTGACTGGCACTTCACCTCTTACGAGGAAACGAATAAATGGATCGATACATGGATCGCTTCAAAAGACTAACTGTTCTTCCGAGTTGGTATCCGAAAATTGACAGAAAGATGGGAAAAAGTAGTGGCTAGCGATGGTCGATACTTAGAATAATCCATTTGCAACCCGTTTTGCTCAATACAGCCTCAATTTTCGAAAACAAACCTTTTAAACTAATTCCCACTTCTAATATATCGCGAAAATATCGAGTGGTCCTAAAGATTTACATATTATGAACATTGTTGTCAACATCAGAACCAAGAATGCAAATATGCAATCCAAATATTAGATTTCTGTCTAATTTTCAATATCTCCATTGACATTTTTTGCATTTGCTTTCTCTAGGGAAAGAATAAGAAAAGCTTAGATGTACAATTTCAAAAAGGAGCAATCACTGACCAGCAACATGGAAAGCAGACATTTTATGCAAACCCGACCTGAAAACATTTCTTTAATTTAGTGTAATGTTTCAATGGGCTTTATTAAACGCAGCCACAGCAGCTGGACATGAAAACCCCAAATCAGTACCCTAATGGTTATTGGTCAGTGGGACCCAACTAAATTGTGGACACACTCCACAAAACAGCAATTGTAGCAAAGCGAAATGTCCCATTTTCCGGATGTTTATTACATTTGCAAGTATCTCCAAACAACACCTTCTATACCACCATAGGGCTAATCTTGGAAAATAAACCTTGCTGGGAGTTGCTTCTCGTTAAGACGCAATTAGGCAAACGTATTAACCGAATTGTTTAGCCTAAAGCGGAGGTTTCATATAAAGAACCGACCCTTATTCTGCAGGTTGTCCGCTTTTGTTCGAAATTGCCCCGCTTGTTGGGAATTAGTTTTATTAAGCAACATTTGGGGTTTTTCACCAGTGCCTTGTACTTTGTTATTTCGGCTATTTTTTTGTTTTGGTGCGACATAGACCATGTTGATGTTTGACAGACTAACGAGCCGTTGAATAATGAAAACAACTCAAGCAGACTTGGACGTAAACAAGGAAAAATGTAATTTAAATATGAATTGGGTGTACGCTGAAAACGCAGTAGTAATTAAAAATTTACGTAAACACTACTACTGGTTTTAATTATTTCTGTATTTCTCTCTACTTGATCGGCGTCAATTTAATTTTGCTCAAGCGCTTTTCAAATTTTAACCTTCTATAATGGCTTAAACACGATTATAAGGGTTAAATAGGTAAAATCCAGGATAAGAAAGTAACTGCGTGTGGTATGAAAACACTCCCGTTTTGGTTGCAACTTTGATTAACTTTACCTCGGTAACAAAATAGCGGAATTATGAGAGGCTTGCTTGATTACATGCGGGCGGTTTAAACCGTTTAACCATGGAATTTGCTAAAATACACGCCGAAACTCGTACCTGCATGGGTAAATGGGACTAAAACAGCGAATAAAACAATGCAGATGTACCGAAAAAGGGGGCTTATTATTTCAGCAAAATACCTACTGTTGGGAATTTTTGCTTGAAGTGTTTCTGGTTGATTATCTTGCTTGGGATTCTGTTTAATTTAGCGGCGCTTCTGACAATATTTATACTATTTGTGGATTCATGAACAGAATGATTGTGTCTAGCATGCTACAAATAGGCGAAATTTTCGTGTTAAAACGTGTCCGAATTAGACAACAAAAAGACGACAGTGTAACGCAAATTCGCATACTGAAACCGAACATTTTCACATCATCCATTTATAAATGAACAAGTTCAAATATTTATGGAGATTTTCACGGACGGTGCATCAAACTAGAACGAGCAAGTATTAAACGGGAATGTGAAAATCTTCAGGCAGGCGCAGGCTTGAAAATGTTGAGACCAGAGGAAAAACTAAGATAATGTTCACACATTTTAATGACGACTTCAAGACTCATTATTCAGAAGCAAACTTTTTCAAACAATTTAAAAGTGTCTGATTTTCAATGTTCAAGTCACGATTGTTCGGCCATTTCAGACTGCAGATATGGTTTTGAGGGGCGACTCGAATAGAAATTCGGGGAAAATCGCAGCTAATTTAAACCCATCTCATGCTTCATTTGCGTTATGATATATTGGAAGTTTTTTAGAGCAAAGCTCCCTGCAGCTACTGCGAAAATTCGGTCAGATATGGCGATTTTCCACGCCCTTATTGATCGGTTTCCTGCAGCGCTTGAGTTGGATTTAGTCTTTCAAATTTGCAAACTTGCCGGCAAAAACGTGCACACTTCTTCATTGAATTGGATTCATTATTAAATTTCATCGTCCGTAACGCTTTTAGCGGCATAACGTTATTTAAGTCCTTACAGCTTTATAAATTTAGGAAATGAAAGGCACTGTGATATTGTGCGGCCAGCATAATAGGGCAAAGGTTTTGTGAGCCGGGGCCTGATGTGCTCCTAAATCATTTAGGAGCCAAAATTGTTCCTGTGTTTAAAGCGGCTTTAGCAACAAAAGCAGTAATACCCGGTGAAACACTTGCACGAAATTTATATTTACTTAAATATTTACAACGCAACTTGTGCAGGTTTAAGCGGACTTTTGTTTTCCCATGACTTATCACGCGTATGTATTTCGAGATCTAATATGAATTAGTGCGTCTCATCACTTGCGCTCCAATTAACCAAAACCTGATTTATTATTTCTCAAAGTATGAACTAACTAGCCACTAACGACTTCCAATTTTTTCAATGGTTTAATTAATGAGGTTACTTATGTTTTGTCACACTTAAACCTTTGAGTTAACAAAGCGCCGATTTGATGTCATCAAACGTGTCGAACGAAAAGTTAAATACAAGAAAAACGGAAATGAGAACATGTCAGAACAATTGTTAGGGACATCCGTAATGTGCCCTTTGTGCAAAGTTTGAAAGCCAGTTCGAGAGTGTGGAATATTTGCTGTGCGGTGGTCAAAGGCAATGTTCTGATAGAAGCTGTCGCAGTTGGCAAACTGCACAAAATGTAATTCAGAATTTTCCACTAAAACATTAGTTCTATGCACTCAAAGATAGCTGAAATATTACGGGGAACTTATCTTTGATAAGTTTCTATCAAGCTTTAGAAAAACTTCTCCTTCGAATTTCAGACTCACTTTAGTTTCAATAAAATATATTTTTATTGCCTACTAGCAGCGAGCCAAGCTTTTGCTGTTTCTGGTAAATGAGTATTTTTACGTATATGCATTGCGACATTATAATAAACGCAATTCCAGTTAACAGTCTGTGGTGTGTTGTGGGAGACAAAAATGAATGTATGCAGGAACAAAATATCAAACATTGTTTTTTGTGTGCAGACTGTCCTAAAACATTAAATGCAAAACATTTCATCCAGTATCTTTGATTAGAACGATTGAGAGAAAATATTATGGACAAAAGTTTAGTGCTTTGCAAGCTTACACTATGAAAATTCTAGATTGACCGTTTAAAGAACATGTAATACGATTTGCACATTTCCTATGCATTGGTTTTAATCAAATGTATTGAATTTTAAAAACAACTTTTATTCCAATACCAGTGCAACTTTTATTTCACTACTTACAAATATTGAACAATATGTATTAAAATTTTCGAACTCCAAACGATACACTTTTAATTCGATTTCAACTTTTTTTTCTATTCAATTTATTTGTCATCAATTTTTGCTCTGCTCTGTGTTTATACAAGGATGGTTTTTGCAAGTTTGCATTTCCTCGCACTCTCCTGAGAACGACCTTTTTGACACGTCATGATGCAATAAATGTGAAAAATGAACCGATATTTAACTCTGGAGTGAACGCGTCTGTAAAGTATGAGCATTTCCATTGAACCCTTCGGTCTGAAAAAAGCATTAGCAGCAAAATATAGATGTGGGGGAATTTTGATAGAATGTTGTACTGAAATATTAATCAGCAGTGACGAGTTCCACATAAATCTTCACGCATTATGCTGCTTTACTCTAGACGCATGCATTTGAGATAAATGTTGATAAGCTCCATAGGTCAAAATTACCTAAAGTTCCTTGGTCGCCTGCATAAAACTCCCCAGGATTCCGAATGCAAGTTACACCGGATGGCATTGATAAATTTTCTTCTTTCATTTGACGAACATCTTCCCCATCTCCGGCTCGTCGGCATCCTATACTTTCAGTCCCATTGATTAGGTCCGGATTTTGTTCTAGCTGATATCTGAGAACAACAGTAATTTGTAGAAAACTGTAATTGAAATTTATCGAAAAAATTATAATTTGTCTTGTTAAATAATGGAATGTCGAGATAAAAGTGGCCTAGACAGTGGCAGCAGGTCAATTAATTTTCATCATTTCAGGCTTGTAAAATTCTTATTTTATGAAAATCTAACTTAAAATTAATCAATCCAATTTCAACGACTTGCCAACAATTTCCACTTCTCATAAATCTTTGTCGAAAACTTTAAATTAACTGACATTCAGATTGAAACTTGAATGCAACTTCCAGCTAAAAGTTGTTCCAAATACAAACAGGCAACTTTTGACTAATCCCGACGAAACGTTCGTATTTGATTAAGTTGTATTTTTCTTGTAATGCTTTACAACTTTTATCAAGTTAAATTTAGGCCGTTTTGAGCTAGGCTTTCCCGTTTTCAATCGTGGGCAACAATTTTCTATTTCTCAAATTTTCCATAATGAACCATTGCACTTACCTTCTCAAAGAAATGGGACTAACAGCTTGATTTCTACTACTTCTAATAGGTGATAAATGGTTGGCATATTGATCTTCACAGGCCCTGATTCCAAACAGTACCACTTCTTCAGCTTCGGCAGTGCATGTTGTGGTTTGAGTAGACGGTGTCAAATTTTGCTTCATTTGTTGATCCAGAGGGGATGAGGATATTGATTTTGCTGCGAAAAATACCCGAATTTATTGGAAAATCGTGTGACATGATTTGGGGTAGGTACTTAAGAAAGGGTAAATCAGTGTCAGTTTCGCCGGCTTACGCTGAATAATTAAGTATCCCGTAAGAGATTCGACTAACCGAAAATGCAATTTAGACGAAACTCTGTCGGGAAAACCGTTTGCCTCGCCTTCAAGATATTATCCACCGCATCAGGAGTTCGTAATGTTTAATCTGAAATGTTTATGCCAATTTCGTTTTGAGCTTACTTGCAATATGGACTCCATTTTTGAAACAGGCAGTGCGAACATTTGGTACAACTTCCACATGATTAATAAGCACTTCACACTTTGCTCCAACAGCTAAACGATTTTCCCAACTACTTAATCAACAAATCAAACTGAAACATAACTCCGTTCCCATCGATTTACCAATTTCCGAAAGCACTAAATAAGAGCCTTGGACATAAAGGTCCATAAAATGCGCTGAAGCTTGTCACATCTGTATTAAATTTTCTGATGATATTACATTTGGTCTCGTCAAGTGATAAATTTTACGTTTACCGAGTAATGAGTTGCAACATCGTCGGATTTACGAGATTTTCGACGTTGAAACAGGAAGAAACAGAATATTTAGGTGTTTCGCTTACCCCAAGTTTTTTCCGTATTGGTTCCGTTCTGGTTTTGTTGGAGATGCAATGAAACCTCCTTGGTCTGGTTCCGCTTCAACTGCCGCTTCTTTTTCTTGTGGCACCTGATCAGACAAGCAATCACTATGAAGAGCACTAGAATGAGAATCACCGCAACACCGATCACAGCGAACATTAAATATTCGATCGGAAACGACACTATGATCACTATGGGTTCTTCTTTCAGCACTATTTTAATGGTGAAGTTCGATTGGGCACTTCCAGCGGCATTTTCCGCATGACACACATAAGTGCCATTATCTTCAACATTGGCGTTGCTGATGAATAGTTCGCTCTTCTTATTTTCACTGCCCTCCTCGATGAAGTAAATTAAACGCATTCCTGGAGCTATGCTGGTATTGTTTTGCAAAAGCTGTCCATCAAACCACCAAGACACCTGAAATGAAATTTGGTTTATTCGAGGGCGTTTACATTTTTGTTATTTCCTCTTTGTTCGCGCCAATTGATTTTTCTCATTCGCTTCTATATCGCTCAGGCCCACGGAAATGGGTCAGTCAACAAGAAACACTAATATTTTTCCGTTATGCCTTTAAATTCCGATAAATCCAGTTTCTCCTGAATAAATCAACAGGGTCTAATCCCCAAAGAAAGCAAGTGGGAAGCTTATACTTCGGAAGGACTTCCCAGGTTATAAAAATTAATGAAGTTTTTCTGTTTGGTTCGTTTGTACTATTCGAATTCCCAACTTTGTTACGAGTAACCTAATAACGGGGGCAGTTATACATAATGTATGATTTCTATCAATTAGTTATTCCATATTTTTACATTTATATGAAGCAGCGGCATTTCGCACAGCGTATTTATGAATTCCCCCAGCTTGCCATTACTTGACTTGCTATTCGAGATATATTTGTAACGAAATTACTCTAGAGTAATTTCATTTTGTATGGTGATTATTGTTTAAGCAGGTGACAAATTTTAATGTTTTAATATGACAACTCAGATCTGATATGGGTAGTCTGAATGTTTTTAAAAGGGTTCAAAGGAAGTTCGTTAAATATACGTTCCAAAACTTGAAAGTCAGTCTACAAAGCGTTTTTCGAAAATTTAATTTCTCTTTGCTTCACATTTTCTGACATTAAAGACTTCCTATAAAAATAAGTTTTAAATTGAGTTTTACCAACTTGAACTTTGTCATGTGCGAGTATTTTCTTCAATATCACTTTTTGCCATTGTTCCATTAAACTTAGAACATGTAAAAGGTAACGATTTTAGCGATATGAAGTCAATTTACAAAACAATATTGGGTAACGAGTAGATACTTATTTATATTCCCCATAGACGATAGATCTACTTCAGGGACGCACCCCTGCCCACGCGAGCCTTGGTTTATCTTCCAAGACCATACGGGGGAAACCATTGTCCTCTCTCCATTCGTCCATCCAAACCCAAATTTTTCCTTCCCAAAATACTTGATTTCGCCAACTCGCAATAGGATGGCGTGGCACAATACATCCTAAAAACCCTTTCCATAAAGGAAAACGAAAGTCAAAGAGGAGTAGGTTTCCTAATACACCCAAGAATGATCAAATACATTCAAAGCTACACCGGAACAAATTAAGCGAAAATATAAGCCCAACAAATATACATGAAGTGGCAACACACCTAACAACGATAATTAAAGAAACTGTACTCAATATCGCAAAAAAGAAATAGAGAAAAACAAACAAACTAAGAGCAGAAAAGATTCAACTGATAGAAAAAAAAGGAGCTTGTACGGCGAAGGCCAAAAACACAGAAGAATACCGCGAAATCAGAAGAGAAGCAAGAAAAATTATACGCAAGGATTGGGAAGGAAACTGCATAACAGAAGTAGAAAATGCAATCGAAAATAATAAGAACATGAGATGACAACGGAAAAACAACGGCGAACCCCTAAAAGACTCCGTGCACCGAGAAACCAGAAATAAGAAGGAAATCCCAAAGATCACCAAGGAATTTTACCAAGGTCTATACACCTCACAAATAGAGAAACCAGAAACGATTAGATTTAAGAAAGTGAGAAATGTGGGGTCGGACGACATCCCCGAAATAACAGAGGAGGAAATACAACATGCTCTTAAATCATCAAAATATAGCAGGGCCCCTGGACGCGATGTCATAATTATAGAAATGATTAAGGAGGCAGAAGAAACAATCGTCCACAAGCTAAAGACACTTTTCAACACTTGTTTTGAAACCCAAGAAATACCTGAAACCTGGAACGAACCCATAATTACCCTACTCTACAAGAAAGGAGACCCGACACTTCTTCCGTATTATAGGTCAATTTGTTTGCTTTCATACATCTATAAATTGCTCACGAGAATCATCGTTAACAGAATGAGTAGCAAACTCGATGATTATCAACCTGTAGAACAGGCGGCATTTAAAAGAGCTTCATCCCATGCGAACATCTATTGACCTTCAAAATTATAAATGAGAAAATGACAGAATGCAACATGCCATAATACTCAGCGTTCATAGTTTACGAGAAGGCCTTTGATTTTATTGAACATTTGGCAATTCTAAGCGAGCTAGGGCTGGCCCATGTCGACCCTAGATACACAAACGTACTGGAAGAGATTCACAAAAACGCGAAAGCGGCAGTGAGAATACACGAAACAACAGATTTCTTTGCCGTGCAAAGAGGAATCAAACAGAGCAACAGAATCTCACCCAAACTGTTTACCCTGGCCCTAAAAGGAATTTTCAAGAAATTAGACTGGTCAGAAAAGGGAGCCATCATCGACGGCGAGAGATTAACACATCTCAGATACGCGGACGACATACATTGTTAAAAATAAGTTGAAAATTCAGTTACTTTTCAGTAAGTTTTGTAACTGAAAATTCAGTTTTTGGTAGTTGAAAATAAATTCATGCACATTGTGATTGAATTTTCAGTATTCTTATTGAAAATTCAAAATTCAATAACGTGTAACTGAAAATTCAATAACATGGAACTGAAAAGTTTTCAGATCTTAACCTATTTGCAGGGACTGATTGAATATCTGTCAATTCGTACTACAACGGACGAATTAACGGATTTACAACCAATAGAACACTTTTGTATCATCGTACCATCGTATAAACGGATGCATGGCTTGATCTATTCTTTCTACAGTGACGTGACAACTAGCAGAGAGACTTATCACAGTTTCACCAAAAAACATCGTAGGCTACATTGGCATGGTGGAAAAGGCATCTGCATGCCACCCAAGTTCGAATCCTGGCGAAGACGTGATAATTTTCCCGCGTTTGGAAAACATTGGAAGCAGACCAGAACAACAGCAGAAATCTACCATAGGAAAACATCTCGACAATGGTCCTCCGTATAATTTGGATGGTGCGTTACACAAATATGCGCGAGAGGTCGTCCACGCTCGTTTTTTTAAAATAACCTTCTTCTTCTTTTTTACCAAAAGTCATTTGTATTTTCAATAACAAGATTTGAATTTTCAATAACTGGTTTCTGAATTTTCAATAACAGGTATCTGAATTTTCAGTTACGTATGTGAAAAAAACTTCAATTACATTTGACAGAAAATTCAACCAGATTTTTTTAACAGTGTAGTCCAGTTAGCCAACAACGCTGAACACCTGGAAAAAATGATTACAGATCTTAACCAAAAATCAAGAAAAATAGGCCTCAACATCAATATGAATAAAACCAAAACTATGTGTCCGGTGGATCCCAATATCATAATAGACAACAACAAAATAGAGAATGTAAAGGACTATACATACTTAGGCCAACGAATAACTCTTGGAAAGGAAAACAAAGATATCGATATCGAAGCTAGAATTATAGTCGGATGGACGGCTTTCGGCAAAACTGAAGAATGTATTCACTATCAAAAAAATACCCTTGCATCTGCGATCAAAAGTTTACTACCAATGCGGATTGCCAGAACCAGATACGGGGCTCAAACATCGACCTTCACAGGGCAAATGATGAACAAGCTTAGCGTAAACGAAAAACGAAACAAAAAACGAAACGAGTTGAGGAGAAGTCTAAAATAACAGATATAATATATCGGGAGCACAAGTGAAATGGGACTACGCGGGACATATCGCCCGAATAAAGGATAACAGGTGGAATGGAAGAGTTTTGCGATGGAGGCCATGGACCGACAGAAGAGTGAGAGGACGACCTATCACACCTTGGTACAGCGACATCTAAAAGGTGGCAGGACTTCGATGGATGAGAACTGCCCAGAATGGAACAAAATGGAAAGAACTACGGGAGGCCTATGTCCAATTCTGGACGTATAACGGCTAGAAAAAGAAGAAGAAGGAACTATTCGATCAAACGATCACTTTGGTGATTCATTTAGTCTTATAAATTAGCAGGAATTGCTTCACTACTCTTCCCAGAAAGATCTGCCTTAAATTCACCGAAAATTTTAACTTGGTTAGCCTATAGCTCCTCAAGAGCCTGGTGCTTCAACTAAGCTTCTAATGTCTAAAAAAAGTACTTTTTGTCTACATCAACTTACAGCAGCTTCAGGAACAGCATGGATATGGCAAAGCAACGACACATTTTTTCCTTCTGTTAGCTCCAAGTAGAGTGTAGTGGGTTGCACCTCGGGTAGACAAGCCAGCTCTTCTTTGGGTATATTTTTCACCAGATTGTTCTTCAATCTTAAAGGTGCATGACATTCAGGATCATGAGATAGCGTCACTTGGAAGGATGAGAGCCAGTCTCTAAATTCTTGAATATGGCAGTCACAAGTCCAAAAGTTTTTTTGAAGCTCAATGCCTTTCAGGGTTTTTGGTAAAGTTTGTGGACTATGAATTGTTTTTAGTTTGTTTGAAGAAAGGTGTAGCCACTCTAAACTGTGAAGCCCTGTAAGAAAGATTTACGATCAGTTTAAAGATTATTTGTTTGGTTTTGCTAGAAATGATGAATAATAGTTGTAGGTTCAAACTTTGATCCGGGCAAAGTGTCCAAACAGAAGCGAATAAGATTCACAGTTACTGTTCAGGTGAAGGTAACCAAAGGCTGTGATTATAACTTAATATGAATAGCAGCTAAATACTCTTTCTTATGAACACCAGTATTAAAAAACGTGAAGTAGTATATCATCTTGAGTATAACTACAGTTTCGAATTGGGAATAATGACTTGGTTAGAGGAAAATCCCCAAGGTGTAGATGGCAATCTTTTTCGCTCCTGAAACTACTTTGCTATTCATAGTTTCTACCGCAAATAAGCTTCCAAAAAGCCGCACAACATTGGAAGCCTTTATCTCAAGGAACATGTTGGCAAAATCCACAATCTCTCCGTCAGTAAGCCTCGGCGTGTTAAGATACGACGAATGATTGAAAGCCAGCCTCTTTGCATCTTTAATAGGATTCGAGTTTAAAGTGAGTTTCCCACTTTAGACAGACACCTTGCCAATGCAGCCGCTGGGAATTATTTGATCAATTTATTCGAGATCGATTGGACCTCGTATGCCTTGGCTGCCTTCGGGTAATGGATTTCAAACGTATGAATGATGCAGGTAAACAGACGAGTGTGGCTTTGCAGGGTTTAAAATAAAATGTGAAAACACACTTCAGTGGCGTCAAACTGAGAATATATGATGGGGAGTTCTCATGCCATAAGCCAGTTAGGAGAGTAACATTATCTTTCACTCAGGTTTCGATGCAAACAATACTTCAGAAGCAGAGGCAGGACAAGGAAACCAATTGAAACTCTAGCCAATTGATGCTAAGGTGAAAAAACTGACTCAATTGAAGCTAGTAAACTTTAATATTTCAAGATGTTTGTACTTATATTAACTTCCTGGACACATCATAATTTTCTCTGCTCCGCTAAGAAACTTTTGATATTATCAAATGGCAGCATATCAATACAGTGTAAAGAAAAAAATGTTAATTGCAATAAATTTGTTAGTTCAATCAATAAAATATACATTTCGAACAAATATAGCCAAAGCTCTAAAACTAACTAACCTATAAGATCCAGCTAAAGATAATCATTATAATGGTATTTGCATTTTGTTTAATGCAAGCAAGCTTACCTTGAAATGCACCTTCCTCGATATCTGCAATCTCGCAGCCGCTAAGCTCCAAAGTGTTAAGATAAGACAGATGATTGAAAGCCAGCCTCTTCACGTCCTTAATCGGATTCGAACTGAGGGTGAGCTTCATCAAAGACGGGCAATTCGAAAACGCCAACGTGGGAACGCTTTCCAGAAAATTACTCGAAAGATCCATTTCGACCAAATTCGTCAAACCTTTGAACGTATCTGTGTGAACAGTGTTGATGCGGCACTTTGATAAATAGAGCCGTTGCAAATTGACCAGCTGTTTCTTCACGAATAGTTCCTTGGTCAGTTCGCCTAAATTGTTGTCGGAAAAGTCCAAAACTTGCGTATCCGGATCAATAGTTTCCGGAATTGCAGTCAGAGTTTTATTCGAACATTCCGCAGTTCGTTTTCCGTTTTTCCACTTGCATGTACACGAAAGTGAACAGGTCAAAACTTCGTTGACGACATGTAGAACCATAATGGAACACAGATGCCAGAACGAGATCTGCATCTTGCCTCTTCGGGAAAAATGGTCCAGTTGGCTAAACAGAGTGCTGTTTCATGTTGTCACTTCGAGCGTTACCTGAAACAATAGAAGCAGTCTGTTATTTAAAGCAGCTCATTTATTTCGCCAAAGTTTCTCTAATACATTCCAGACATTCAGGCCGGTGAAACTGACAGTAGTTTCATTTTTCAATTGATTTCTCGGCTGAGAAATATACGATTTTACCCGACTTCCACCTAAGTTTTTCGCATTGAACATTTATTTCTGGCTTGTTCCTTTTGCGCTGCTCGGGGGTTTGGTTGAGACGATTTATGTCCTGTCGGCACGAACCGCCAGTATAAATTGGCCTTTCCACATTTGTTAATAGAATCCCTACCTTTGCTGAAGCCAATACATCGACTCTGGGTTATGCTCTTTGCAATAGACCGATTTATTCATCCTGTACCCTTAAAACATTCTCTGTAGCAGTTGCGTAGAAAAACACTTTTCTCAAGTAAATTTTCCTCGGGAAAAAAATGTGCTCTGCAGACTTTCCAGAATTGCAAATTCCTGCAAGGTAGTCATTAGGTAGTCAGTAGGTATTTAAATATTTTGGTCAGAAAACCTAAAGTGACCAAATGGCCACCCCCAAAGTGGAAAGAACAATTTAGTAAATAAATGTTGGATGGGGAAAACTTGTGTCGAAGACCCGTTGACCTAATTCCTTCGTCTAGCCTGAAAAACATTCACGGGCTCCCGAAACTAAGGTATAGTAATGCAATCGTATTTGAATAATTTATCATATTTATGGATTTTACGAACTCCCACCAGCTGAAAAGAGTTGGAGGCTTTAGACATAAATAGAAGATTTTAGTGATGCGTTAAAAATAGGGTTTATGGGACAGATACACCAGTTTAGCTTATTCCGATAAAGGTTGATGAAAAAGAGTTAGCTGAACACTTTGCATATTTTTTTTGCAGATTTCCAGCCGCCTGACGTGGAATGCACAATTGACACGTTGAGTATTTGAAACGGACATTAAATGCGACTAAAGGGGAGAATGCGAACTTTATTGCAGACAAACGAAAACGTGAATAAAACTTTTAGTGTTTGGCGACTAGCTGCCCACATGTACTTTGCTTAAGGAGGCGGTTTA